TTTTTCAATATACTTACATGATTAGTTTTGGGTTTTGATTTTATAGTATAAAGATTATTAATTAAGTATCAAATTCATATTTTTGATAGTTTTAGATTATAATTTCAGATTATAAATTAGCATTATATTTTTAGATTTTCATAATTATAAAGTTAGGGTTTCTAATTATTGAGTATCATGATTTTTGGATTTTTATGAACAATTAAATTGGGATTTTTATGCCTCAATGTTTCTAATTACTAATAAAGCCTAAAATTATGTTTTTATTGAAGTTTTAAGTAATTTTTAATCATAGTATATTGCTGAATTTTTTTGGTAATAAGGGTATTAATTGTAAATTATTTTTCAAGGAGGAGATTATTTCCTAGGAGAGTTTTAAGTGTGTGAAAGTGGCACAAAGGATCATTTACACGAGGTACGTACATGTCTACTTCGTTAAGAGTAGTATCATGTTTAGGTACCAAAAAGGGAAAAAATTAGTTTCATGTTTAGGGAACTATTTGTTTAGAAATTGTTTGGTTAAAGGTTAATTTATTCATTATGTGCTTATGTTATGAGACATGTTTTGGTTATTTGATCATGTTTGCATGGAATTATGGATGCAAGCATGTTGGATGGATTTGTTGTTTGTATGAAATTATTGATACGAACACGTTTATTTATTGAATTGGATTCGTTTATTAAATTTATCACATTTGGATTAATTAAAGGATTGGAATAGAGTGGTTTAAGTGGAATTAATCAAACTTGTAACACACGTAAAGTGAAACATAGATGAACAATAAAACTTTGGAAGAGTGTACTTCTAAAGTATATATTACAATAAGTGGTTGGGGTACACGGTGGTAGCCTGTGGCCTTCTGAGGCTTGTTTGATCAGCGTGTCCTCTTTTAATTTGTGGTATTCTTATTTAATTTTTATAAAGAGAGTTAGACGAGATCCTAGACTAACTTTGTGAGAATGGAGTTGCGACCATTCTTGCAGTGCACTATCTTCTTATGGCTATTATTTTAACCAAATTGGTTTGGTGGATTGGACAACCTAGTGTATTGCTTATTCCAAATATAATTAAATTGAATTTTAAGAGTCAAGTTACTAGAATAGGCTAGTGAGTATATCGAGTTAATTGATTTATTAAGTATGGAGTCTTTAATAAATGACTTCAAGTATACGTGTTTAATTATTTGAAATGATTGAGCATGTTAGATTTAGTACGTAGTAGATTGTATGCACTCAGCTTTGCTGATTACATACTTTGTGTGTTTATTTTCGATCATTTGGTCACGGCCTTTGCCTTCATTCACCCTGTGATGATCCAATTGTTACACTTGTATTATTGGAGAGCAGTATTGCACAAGTTAACTTGATGATGCGAAGTTCGGGGTTTGGCATACGCATTGCCAAGAGATTGGTGTGATTGAGAGTATCGAGTCTTGTGTTGAACTTATTTATGTTTTGTTATTTAACTTATGTTTTGGATTTTAAATGTTGGTTTTATTTTAATAAGAGCCTTACACTACTAGAAAACAGCCAATCAACGACGGAAAAAATCTGTCGAAAAACCCTGAAATTCCGTCGGAATTGCCCATTTCCGATGGAATTCTGTCGGAAGGCACCGTCGCATTACATCTTATAGGAATTTCGCGATATTCCGAGGGAAATTCCGTCGGAAAGGTCCATTCCGACGGAATTTCCGACGGATTTTGTTTTGTCGGAGTCAAGTTTGACTTAATTGGGAAGTCCGTCGCAAAGTTCCGACGGAACATTTACGTCGGTATGAGTTACCTTCCGACGGAAAATGCCGTAGCAACAAGCCAAGATTCAAACGGAATTATTCCGTCGGAAGGTTCAAAACTTTCCGACGGAAAAGTTTCCGTCGGAATATACCACTTCCGACAGAATATTCCGTCGGAATATACCTTTTTCGACGGAATTTTCCGTCAGAATCTACTTCCTCTTGATGGAAATTTCCGTCGGAAATGTTAATAAAAATAATAATAAAAAAAAAAAACAGAGCCCCCACCCTAAACAGAGCCCACCACCCTAAACAACCACCAACACAACCAGAGCCCCCATCCTTAGCAGAGCCCACCACCCTAAACAGAGCCCACCACCCTAAACAGAGCCCCCACCCTAAACAACCACCAACACAACCAGAGCCCCCACCCTCATCCCCAACAACAACGAAAACCCCATAAAATACACTCACCGTCGCCGGAAACCCTCTCCCTAGCTCCCATTGTCGCCAAAAACCCCCAACCACCACCCTCACCGCGCCGAAAACCCCCCGCAAATAACTCCACTATCGCCGAAAACCCCCCACCAACGCCTCCACAGTCGCCAAAAACCCACCTAAGCTCACAACCATCACAATCCCATCACCACCCACCACACGCACACACATCAGCCACTCCCACCACCACCACTAAATCTCCTAACCTAGAAACCCAAAAATTTTAATAAAAAAAAACTCAGAAAAAACGAAAAATTAAAACCTAAAACATACCTTAAATTGAAATGGGTTTCGAATTTCACCACGAAAACGGTTTAACAAGGCCAAATTCGGCCATGAAAAGTCTAGATCTAGGCTTTTAATGGTCGAATTTGGCCTAAAAAACCTATAAAATAATCAAAACAACATCGCAGGTGGTTGTGTAGCTTGCACAGTGGTGGTGGTAACCGTGTTGTTGCGCCGTTGTTGATGTCGCTGTTCTTAACGCCGTTGTTGGCGGTTCTTATTGTTGTTGTTGCGGTGTTCGTTATGGTGGTGGAAACAGGAAGAGAAAGAGGGGAAAGAACAAGAGGCGAGAAGAAAGAGGAGAGAAGGAGCAGTGGTTAGAAAGAGGAGAGAAGGAAGAGAAGAAGGGAAAGAGAAGGAGAAGGGGAAGATGCGGGAAAGAGAAGGAAGGAGATAAGGAGAGAGAAAGAAAAAGGGGAAAGACAGAGAAGGAAGAGGCGGGAAGTGACAAGGGGGGTGGGAGTTGCATTAGGGTTTCAAGTTTTAAAGAGATTTTTTTTTTAAATAAGATTCCGACGGAAATTTCCGACGGAATAATAATCTGTTGGAATATTTGGGATTTCCGAGGGAATATTCCGTCAGAAATTTTCGACGGATTTTAATTCCGTCGGAAATTAAACTTTCCGACGGAATATTCAGTCGGAAGACTATAGTTCCGAGGGAATTAATTTCCGTCGCAAGAATTCCGACGGATTTTCCGTCGTAACGTACCTTTTCCGATGGAATTTTCTGACAGACCCCAATTCCGTCGGAAAGTTCAAATTTTCCGACGGAATTTAGGTCCGTCGGAACGATTTCGTCGGAAAACGACCTATTTCTAGTAGTGTTATATGGTTCCAGTTTGTAAGATTTAAATTTTGGTTTTTCTGCTGCTAAATTCTGATAAAGTCTTAAGTTTTAACACGTGCCGGTAACATATCAATAGCTCTCCTCTATTTTAGATAAGGTAGATGGTTTGGAAAGGGGAGAACTGTGGGGTGTTACATTAAAAGAATCAGAATTAGTTTTTACTTAATTTTATTATTAATACGACTTACTCCGTAATAATCTATCATATCACTTTTATATAAAGCCAAGTCTCGCAATCAGGCTGCGAGATAACGACACTTGGTGTTCCAGTTTTTCACCAAGTGTCTCGCTATGTAGGCGACAAATAAGCATTATTGTGACATGTATACCTACTTTCTTAAGAGTAAAAACTTATATAGAGTTTTATTATCAATTTAAAATTAAATTAAATTTTGATAATGGTAAAAAAAAATTATATTGATCATCACAAGAAATATAATTACCAATAGAATTTTATTCCTACCCGAGATATTAGTATCCCATTAACAATTGAACTATACTCCTATACAAATACACCACATATAATTATAACTATAAATAAGGTCTAGCATTATTAATATTGTTTACTCTACCATTGTGTTACCATCAAAGCTATATCAATTAGATATTCTTTATATTTCCAGTTAGAAGGCAGTTCAGTTTCAAATTTCCATCTGATTATTTTTGTGTGAGGAATACTTATACAAAATTTCAGAATTGTTGGAGTTAGTTTGATATTTCTTTGGGCAGTATTTCCAAAACATTGCAAAATCGGAGCAAATTTATTGTTACGAATTCAACAGGGCATAACCTCTTTGATTTTTATCCAAATTGAGTGATTTTTTATTGAATCTGATTATTTTTGTGTGAGAAATACTCATACAAAATTTCAGAATTTTTTGGAGTTAGTTTGATATCTTCTGGACAGTATTTTCGAAACAGTGCAAATTTGGAGCAAATTTATTGTTACAAATTCAACAGGGCATAAATCCTTCGATTTTTATCCAAATTAAGTGATATTTTTTTGAATCTGATTATTATTGTGTGAGGAATACTCATATAAAATTTCAGAATTTTAGGAGTTAGTTTGGTATGTTTATGGGTTGTATTTATGAAGCAATGCAAATTTCATAATATTTATAATTTTGCCATTAATGAAAAAATTGGGTAAACCGTCAGATCTGTTTTAATGAACGGTGACAGATAAGTTTTTATATATGCATGGGTTCTTATATAAAGGGGGGTTCTCACATGAACTCGACCCTATATATATATATATATGGGATCATGTGAGAACCCATTATACGTAAGAACTAATCTGGACCGTAGGATTAGATTTAATCTGACCACTCAAAATAAATTGGTTAGTAATGACACTTTTGTAATTTTTGCTGCATACTTTCCCCTTTCTTTCTCCTCATTCACGATCTGATTTATTTTACGGTTTATTTCCCCTTTCTTTTTTTTTTTCTCTAGGCTTACATCAAACGCTCTCTCCTCTCATAAATTTTGGTGCAAATTCCTTCAAGAAATTAGGGTTTACTTCAAGAAATAAAGGTTTGTTATTCAATTCTTATGATTCAATTCTTTCTATTCATTATATTCTATTTTATATATTCTCATATTTTTGTTGCATTTTTTATGCGTTTTTTTCAATTTTGATTTTTGTGATTTATATGCTCTTTTTATGTTTGATTTATGCTTGATTTTCGATTTATGTTCCATTTTAATTGATTTATGCAATTTCTGAGTCGATTTTTGAAATCGAATTTATGTGATTTCTGTGCAATTTCATGAGCGCATTTCAGAGCGATTTTTTTTAGCAATTTTTTGATCGAATTTATGCGATTTCTAGGCGATTTTTTTGGTCTATTTTTGCTCCATTTTTTATTGTTTTGTTGCTTTCGATTTTAATTTCATCTTATTTCTATTCAATTTTTTTTGTATGATTATTCAGTTCGTCTTTTTGTTTGATTATCCACTTCCAATTCTTTGATATTTCGGCATTATCGTTCTTTGAATTTTGGTTTGATCGACAATGTCGAGATAGTCTCCAATTTTATTGAGCATTTGTTTGTCATTTGATTCGACAAACAACGGAGTAAGAGAAGAGACGAGTTGACGTTTTGAGAAATTTGACAATGTCGTCATTGTCGGCAATCAGCGAGGAACTCGGAGAGATTGATGGACAAATCAATGACATTTTCGTGCATTATCGTAAGATTTTATGTCATTTTTCCCCAATTTTGTGAAATTTAATTATTTTTTGTTCCAAATAATTTAAATTGGTAAATTGCCGTATTGTGAATTTTTCTTAGAAGTCTTTTGATTCATCTAATTTCAGCATTGGGGATTTGATCGACGCTTTGTTTTTGTTGCTTAAAAGTTGCAATTGTCTGATATTTAGCTGTGTAACCTATTTACTGGGATAAGTTTGGGCAGAGAGATTTGGTTATATATATATTTTTGCTAGTTTCATTAAGTAGAAAAGTCTGTCTTAGCCATTGAATATGGTCAGCTTCTTGGTTCTTCATATACTGACTCTTTTATCCTCCTCTACAATACAGGTCTGTCATTGAAGTCCGTAATGGCATGACCTTTCTTGACCTTATAGTCAATTGAGGTCTAGCATTCTATTTTCTTTTGGATTTCTGTATATTTTGATTCTTCTTGACACTTACCCTCTTGTGAATGATACACAGAACCTTAACAGCAAGTATAGATCCAAAGTGCCTTTGGTTCTGATGAACTCATTCAACACACATGATGATACACTAAAGGTAAAGTACCCATATAAACATTCTATACTGATTAGTTGTTCAACCAGATGGATATTTCTCTTTCCGAAGAAGAGAAATAGCTGGTTAGTTAAAAAGAAGACGGTATTTTAGTATTACAATTTGAGCACTTTGTATATACTTCTTAAAAGTCATTTGCTAATATTTTATTTAGATGAAAGCAACTAAAATTACTCGTATTTCACTTGTGGTAGGAATGCTCGCTGAACCAAGTAAATTAAATGATGCTTCATTGTGATCAAGGCCTGCAACATGTACATTGGAACGCTATATTTGAGATGCAGCATATGGGAATTGTAGATAACAATTTAAGGTAGAGCTTTAGTCCTTGTCACTATTGCTTTAATGAGAGTATATGTTCATTTCATTCAGCTACATACTGCTTACTTTTAGATTAAACTGATTTAGCATGTATGTGGAACTGGAATAGGAAACAGGGTGGCATTTATTACACTATTTCACTACTTAGGACACTAAACTTCATTACCTTAGGACTGTCAAATTTTTTTTTTCTGTTAATAGCATGCGATGCCTTTTAAAGCTTATTACACTTTTCCTTCCGTCCTTCAATCCCTACACATGATAATACCTCCACTTGTACTTTAAGATTTCTACTTTGATTGACTGTACTATTCAACACTTTGTATTATATAGTGCTTTGATCCGTTATTTACTGTTGTTACTTAAGTTTCTAATCTGTAATATTCTTAAGACATCCTTCCCTTTTGGGGACTAGGGCTGGTTAATAAGGTTACATATCCACATTAATGTCACTACATTTGGTAATTTTTTCTGATCAGTTTGTTGTTAAGCTAATTGCTTGCAATTTTATGCTCATATGTGGCTTTTTGATGATAACAATTGGGTAATCACAAAACACATGACTCATAACATAGAATTGTATGGAGCATTATATCACATGTTAACTTTAGAGCTGAAATTGTAGATAAAGCGAATTGCAGCTTGAAGATTCTTTTATGTGCTGAAAGTTAAACCTGTATGTTTGGTTTGAATTGCGCAACCAAGTTGGCTGCAACTTTGGAGGGTTGCAGCTTCTATATACTCGACGTGCAATTTTCTATCTTCAAGGGAAAACGTCAGCTGCTGATCATTCCTCACAACTTCTCTAAATCCTTTGTTTTCAATTATAGTACTCTTTTATTTTTTTTTTCCCTCCCTTTTTCTCTCATACTTCGAGGAGATCCTCTAATATCCATGTGCATTTACCAATCTGTGCTAATGGAGGCAAGTGGACAAACAACCTCAGACCTACATGAACTTATGTGGTTATTTGTGAGTCGGCTTCCTATAACTCCATTGCGTTATTATTGAGATTTTTGAATGAATGTGGATGATACTCTGCTTATTACAAGAATATCATATGCTTGTTGATTGCTCATGTGGATGAAATGAGCAAATAAATACTTGTTGATTTAATGAATGATTAAAGAAATGTTTGCTCATTTGACAAATGAGCAACTAATTATTTGCTCATTTGACAAACGAGCAACTAATTATTTGCTTATTTGACAAATGAACAATTAATTTTTAAATGAGCAATTAATTTTTTGTTCATTTGTCAAATGATCGAGCAATTATTTTTTGCTCATTTGTCAAATGAGCAAAAAAATCCAATGCTCCTTTGTCAAATGAGCAAACTATTTAATGCTCATCTTTCAAATGAGCAAATGATTCTTGCTCATTTTGTCAAATTAATGCTCATTTGTGAGTGTGTTTGAATGTTTTAAATACGTTAGCCTACTAGCTCAAGGGTAGAGCATTGTGCAAATGCACAAAAGATGTGGGTTCGAATTCCCACGTAGGTTCATTTATGTAATGTGGAGACACAATTTGTAGTGTGAGCAAAGAAATGAGCAAACTACACTCAATTAGCACGTAGAGTAGTGTGAAAATGTAGAGTTTGAAGATTTTGAGTAGTTAATGAAATTTATTCTTTTGGCTATTGGGAAAACAATACAAAAGACACCCACATTACATAAATTGTTTCTGAGTAGTTAATCATGTAAATGTTTCTGAAGCTATTGGGTGTCTTTTGTATTGTTTTCCCAATAGCCACCCACATTACATTTATTCTTTTCGTATGTTACACAGACATTTGACAGCTTCATAAACATGATTAACAAATTGTACCAAATGCACAAAGAAAACGATCTATGCTAGTGATAAGTATTTAGTTAGTAGTGTTGAGCAGGAAATGTGTTAGTCATATAGAAACCCAAATACAGAAACTTCTCTTGGAACGAAGCAGCAAAATCATACCAGTAGAAGTGGAAGAATTAGAACTTTCAGAAGAATTTCTGAAATGTAGTGTTAGCTGTATGCAGCTGTCTCTATAAACATCTTGAATTGCAATCTTCATTGTTATTTCCTGTTCCTTTCCCACACGAGTGCTGCGATCAATTATTACACCAATGCTAACCGCAACATTCTTGTGTACTACGTAGTTGTATCTTCCTTTATTGACACTGCTTGTGTAGCTTGGCATAAGAAGAAGAAGTACTGCAATTATGTATACAGCAGGAAGCATGATTAACTTATAACCTTACAAAAGTTTGAAGTTAAGCTGGAAAAGGAACACCTGTTATTTGATCAAGAGGAAGTTGCCTTGGCTAATTCGTGCTAAAAATTTCGGACATTGCATAAATCATATTACAATTATAAGACATGTATAAGAATTGAACAACGATATTGTTGAGCAGAAAAGGAGAGATGATCAAGTTTTTTTTGAAGGTTTTTTTTATATAGTTATTTATAAGTACAGCCTATGTAGGATTCGAACCTACATCATCTATGCATTTGCATAGTGCTCTACCACTTGAGCTAATAGGTTTTTAATATAGATCAACGCCCTCCCATAGAAGCAGAGGAAAACAATCACATGTAGAAACTGAAATGCCTCCATTATTACTACAACAGCCACCATAGCTCACAAATTACCCAACATATGCTCACCGAACATAACTACTACTAGGAAGTATTATCAAGTAAATTAGTAACAAGTGAATATGCACCCCCTTAAACACACTTACACACACACTCTCAATAATTAAAACTGAAATCAGATTCTTAAATAAGAATGTACACGGCCAGGAGCAAATACACACACTTACACATACACTCTTACACTCACACACACACACAGACACACACACACACACACACACAATAATTTCAGAATCTAAAATTAGAACTGAAATCAGTTTCTGAAATCAGAACTGCAAGCAGAATGATGAGGGGGCGGGGGGGGGGGATAGGTTTGTGCAGGGAAGTGGAAGAAGGGAGTGTGGTAGGTGTGCAGGAAATAGACCAAGAAGAAGGGGGTGGGGCTTGTGCACAGGCAAGCAGACCAAGGAACTCAATGCTCATTTGTGAAATAAGCAAACAATTCTTTGATCTTTGGTCAAATGAGCAAATAATTGAATGCTCATTTGTCAAATGAGCAAATAACTCAATGCTCATTTGTGAAATTAGCAACTAATTATTTGCTCATTTGACAAATGAGCAACTAACTATTTGCTCATTTGCTAAATGAGCCTATATATGATATATTACTTGTCAAAATAACGCAGTACAACACAGCAACATCAAGCATAAAGCATATCTATAGAACCAAATTTACATCGAATGATCAATTTTATATAAACAGTCAATTATAGACCAGGCAGATACAGGAGAAATTGATTTTGGATACTGTTGTATCTGCAATCAATTCAATCATGAATGCTCCTTAACTGAAATCACTTTCTACCGTGATCTGTTAGTAGCCGAAAACTGCAACAAGCTGAAGTCCCCAAAGGACTGCCTTCGCTTCACTAATGCAAGGCTCCTAGCAGTCTTTCACCTTCCACGAAGAAGCTACATAAGCCTTCCCATCACTTCCCTTAATTACAGCTCTCGCACACAATCCCCTCCCCCCAAACATCCTCCCATCCACATTCAATTTGTAGCAGCCAACAGGTTGTCTCCATTTCTTACGCTTTGGCCCTCGCACCCACCTTATCTTCCACTTTTCCACATCAAGCTCCTTCATAAGCTTAGTAACATACTATACAGATTTAATGGGATTGCACTCCTCCTCAAAGACCCACCTGTTCCTTGCTGTCCATATCGCCCAACACACGGTCATGAAGAAACCATGCTCAGTTCTTTGCAACCTATCAAAGCACACACTCGCCATATCTCCGAAATCTCTGAAATAGCCACCTATCTGTCCACTCAGGTCACACGTATCCCAAATATGTCTGTCAATTACGCACTCCTTCAAACAGTGAAGCTCGCTTTCTTCTCCAGTCCCACATATGCTACACATCGAATCAACTTCCATCCCCTTCCTTCTCAGACCCTGCACACACATACACTCTTACACTCACTCACACACACATACAAACACACACACACACACACACACACACACACACACACACTTACACATACACTCTTACACTCACTCACTCACACACAAATTTAAAATAACAACACAAGAACGATTGTACCTCAATAACACAGCTTATTCTGCTCATTTAATAGTTGCTCATTTTTTTTTTGTATTTGCTCATTTTAATTCTTTTTGCTAATTTTAATTATATATGCTCAATTTACATACCTTCAATTGAAATACTCAAATTGAAAATTGAGCTCATTCAACTGGACATAATAAGATTAACAGGCAATTTTATAGTTCTTAAATACTCAAGTTGAAAATTTCTCATTGAATTTTAACGAAAATAATCGATTATTTTAACGAAAAGTATCCAAAATTTTAACGAAAATAATTCGAACTGAACAATTTGAAATTCTCAAGCACTAAGATTAACATGCAATTGAAAAATATTTTGTAAATTTTGATGCTAAGATCACTCATTGCTAAAATTTTAACGAAAATCCAACATTCAAACCATGAAATTCAAAAATACTGACAAAAATTAAGAAAATTACATTCGGAAAAAACTAACATAACTTTGGTTGATTATTTACCTGTATAATCTATGAAGCTTGTTGATTCTTGTTGCTGCTGAAATCTGACAAAAATCGAACGGAATTGTGGTCGAAATTCTTGAATCTCATTGAAATTGAAGCTCGTAGTTCTTTGCTCTGTTTTTCTGAGTAGCAGCAGTATATCAAAAGTTTGAATTTATTAGAGCCGTTGATATCGTTTGATCCTAAGGCTTAGATTTGCTCTCATATATTAGGAGTGTTCTCACGGGTGGTTCTCACCGGATCCCGACCCTATATATATATATATATATATATTGTATTTCATCAAATTTATATGATTTTGAATATACATGATGGTCATCATGTGGTAGATGTGTTCAGGGGCGGACTTGGCCTTGTGCCTGGTGGGTCAAATGACTCACCAGGGCCCAAAAAAATTTCTAAGTCTTTTTTTTTTTTTTTTTAAAAAAAAAAAATAAAAAATTATTAGTTTGTTAATTTTAGTCTTGTCAATTTTAAGCTTGTTAAATGTTAGTTAGTATTGTAATCTTGTCAATTTCTATTTGGATGATCTTTGTAAATAATTTTTTTTGGGAATTTTGGTAAAAAATTTTTTTTTACATATTTGGTTATCGATTGTGAGTTTGTGACTCACCGGTCAGAAATTCCTGGGTCCGCCACTGAATGTGTTCATGCCAAATGATATTACTATAACTTAGGATCGGAGTGAATGAAACTTATGAAGTATAAATGTAATCATTCATCGGATCCAAATGATATTACAATTACTAATGAGTATCCAATTTACAATAGGATTTTAATCATATATGAAAACATTACATGAATGATATATCCTATGCCAAAAAGGATTATTATATGTTATTTATAAAATATGTTTTATGAGATAAGATTTAACACTCAAGCAAAAAAAAAAAAAAAAAAAAAAAAAAAAAAAAAAAAAAATCTAAAATTTTATCAATAATCCACCGGGACAGCACTCGGGCACAAAACTTGTACTATATATATATTGAAAGGCGTTCATAAATAAAAAATATGTACCACGTGTCATTCCTTTTAATCACTATTAATATACCACATCACCTTTATAAAAAATAATATGTGTCACATACCACCCTTTTTAATCACTATTTGAACTTGAGAACAATAAGTATACATGACAATAATTGTTGACTAACAGTATATAAATTGGGATTTAGGTGCTGACCTCGAACAAGCATATCGAATGCATTGACTAGATGGGCTGAATTTTTGTAATTATTAAGCATTAGCTGTCCGAATATTGACGTAGTGTTACCAATTTGCTAATTAACAACTAAGTTGCGCATGAATCTAGCCTTATCTAGGAGAGCTCAAATGGACTTGATCATTGTATAGTGTTTGCTTAACTTTTGGGATGCTTAGAATTTTATAGGAG